TGTAAATAATAATCTTTAATAAGTGAATCAGTCTAAGAGAAATATGAATTCATAACCTTCATAAAAAATAATAGGTAATGGGTTTTTTTAGCCTTGGTAGGGCAACCAGATTGGTAAAAGTATGTCACTGAATGATTCCACACTAATGCATTTAGTTATAAACTGTATGGATAACGTAGCTTTTATGATTTCTGTTTAGTGTCACTGCTTGCAGACTTCTTGTCAAGGGTTTTCTTGTTTTTAATAAACTGATAATAAATATATATATTCTACTCTGCTAATATTGTCCATTAAATAACTGTACATTGAAGATAAAACAACAAAAAAAAAATCAATGAGTTATGGGGGAATTTCTGAAAGGAGAAATTATTATTTTAAGCCTTACTAATCATCTTGGTTGTTATATGCTCAATGTTTCGGCTGTTATCCCCTCGGATGTCTTCCGAGCACTTTCAGTTTTTTTGTTTTTTTTTTATTATAAGTAAATATTCAAATATATTCAAATTCTCCCCAGAAACAAGAACCCTAGACAGACACAGTATATCACAAGAGCCATAAACCATTAGGGTTAAAAGGACCCTAATTTTTTATGATTTATATTTTAACTATATTTTTCTTGTTTAACTTACCAAATTAACCTACCAGTTTATTGTACTAAGCTCTTCTCAAAATCACTATTACTAAAGACCGTGATCAGTACCCAGATGGGTGACTGCTTGGGAATACTAGTGTTGTAAGCTTTGATGGGTGGGTTGTGTAACAGATAATGACTCAGAATTGTTAATCAGAGAGCCATGGTCCAATTCTAGCCATGTTCATTATATTCTCTTATGTGCAAATACTCTTGGGAAAGGTATCAATCCACCTCTTCTCCTCCTAGCTATGTGTTAATTAATAGAATTTATATTCACTAAGCCATTATTATCTCCAAAAATAAAATAGTGTCCAAAAAGTATTTAGATTTTGGCATTAAATAACCCAGAAAGGTTACTATTTTGCTAAAATAAAAACAGTCAACCAAACTAAAGACCATATTATTTGGAATGTTTTTGTTATAAAAACCATGTTTGCTTGTCGGCAGAGACAAGATTATTA